TGTGCCAACGTATATGTCATTTGATCTATACAAGAACATACCGAAATGCGAACTATATTGACCAGGACGCTTGGGATTCAGTATTAACGGCAGGATCTGTACCAAGTCGACGTTACAGAGTAAACGATAAGGAAAGTAGTCTATCTGACTTGGAGAGGTGAGCTTCAAGATTTCAACCCTGTCGACGTTGGTTTAGCAAATGCCCCGTGCTTCAATCGTTTCTCCCCTGTCTAGCCATCTACCCTGGCCTCCGAGTCAAGCTAGGGTTATCCTGGCTCCTCCACAAGTTTCATAGTCCGTTTTGAAGCACTAAAAGAATAACGGCAGGGAGATCGGCTTCGTCTTCAACATTTTGAATGTGATATCACAACGCATTGTGAATATGACATCTCTTGAGGCACCGTTTTTGATATACCTGACCAACAACGCCCGGAGCTGTTTCTCGTCACTGCATGGTGGCGAGGTTACCAAAGATCTGCGAAGGAGGAAAAAAATACCTCGAGCATGCGCCCATGAAAATGCCAATGGCTCCATAGCGGCAAATCAAGGTGTAAATGTGAGAGGGTTGAACAATAAACGAGCGGCATCAGGATCAGGGTGCAGTGGGGATCCCTGTAGTCCTGCCTTGATGGGCAGACTCCCTCCGAGAGAGCCTGTCTTGAAAATGCTGTAAACAAAAGGCCTGACCCACCATGCATTGTCGATTGGCTTTAATCGAATAACAATACTTGTGCTACCTGTTGCGTTGCAGGTAATGGTAAGTTGCCTTTGAGCTCTGAATGCCATTCGAGATTGAATTGCAGGCCAGCAACCTCAAGCGCAGCAGTAGGAGCACTGCAGCACCTTTTTGTCAACAGCTGCAGACTGAGTGACAGTTATGTCTCAACATAGTGGTCAAAGCAACGCTGCTCGGATTGGATATTCTGAGCTGCTGCGTTAGATAGCCAAGCAAAACTTGAGACCTACAGGAGCCAACCAGCGAAAAATATGGCCGATGGTCTGCAGTAGTGTGCAGGACGATAACTATTGCCGAAACTGTCGAGCTGCGTTGCGCCGCGTAGAACTTGACTCGGCCTTGGACCAACAGATGCTGGCTGATAACTAGGAGTTGATTGAAGGCTCCTAACAGGACAGACGTGCGTATAATATCCACATGCTGGCGCGCACGCGCTAGCCTTTGTGAGCCTAGATCACATATGGTAAGGACTCGGGATCTGGCGAGCTTGGTTTGTTTGTCCAGTGTCGACTGAGCAACAATTACAGTGGCTGTTCTCTGGCAGTGGAGTCGGTTTCGCAAGGACAGGCAATGCAGAATTGCAGATGAGGAACGAACGACTGGCCCATCTGCGCCAGCCGTGGGAGAATGGATGATCACTTTGCGGCTCATCATCGACCAGGAAGGACTGGGACAATGTGCAATCGACAAAGATGAACCAATTGGAGTATATGATGACCGACATGCCACTAGGCCTCGTTGCTATCGATTTCCAAATGTGCACGAGCAGGTGGTAGTGCTGAGCTATTTTTGCATGGAAGTTGAACAGCCTTCTTCATGTCTGTAGTTCCCTCTTTTGGCTCAAGCTGGTGATGTTCATTTGGCCCCAGGCGTTGTGGCACCGTCTTGGCTGTCGTACATGATAGTACACGGAAGACCTTTGTGGTACCTGTCGCAAGCAAAAACCAACAACAGGCCATGTGGGTTTGAGCATCGCGAAGAAGTAGCAGATCCGGGTATGGTGTGATTTTACGGCTTTAGTTACCATCTGCAATTGCGTACGACTCCTTCAGACTCTATGCCCGTATCGTCAGCAAGGTAACTCCAACGAGGACCAACCGCATAAAAGTGCAGCTTCCTCATAAGAGGGGTCCAATCTCAGATCCAGAATTCAGTAATTTGCTGGGGTAAACAAGAACAGCAAAGAGCGGCCAGGAATTCCGCTTCCTTGAGCAAAACAGTTTAAAACGTAGTGAAGGAAAACAAAACTGTATTTTGATGGACAGCGCAGTGGCATCTTGTCCCAAGCCATCCATACAGCGATATCTGTCATATTGCACCCAAGACTTGATATCTCAACAGATAGCAGCTAGCCACAGATCGTCGGCTTTGGTGCGTTGCACCGTGCACTGACTCTCAAAGCTGCCGATGCAGGTAACACAACCATCATGACTGGAAGAGGCAAGGGCCAGCGGAGATGATGCAGAAGCAGACTCTTGGCTCTTCTCGGAGTCTTTCAAAATGTAAATCTCATCAGCCAGCCGAAGCCGAAGAGGATCCGCAGTATTGCAACCCTGCCCTGCCTCTGTTTAGCTGCCGGGTTGGTCGATCTGTGGTTTTGCAGTGTCTGCTGGTCGGCTGCTTTCTCCAGGCCGGTTTCCTCCCGCCGAGCATAATCGGCCGCGGGTCCTTACGAGTCCCATTGGAGGTAGGCAACGCAACGCGGCAGCCGTCTATGGGCGGAGCGGATCCAATCTTGACGGCTCGAGAAGGCGAGACAATGCGATGTGATGTGATGATGCATTTTCTCTGGCCACTTCATATATGCACTGTTCTGTCTGGCTGTCCATTGTCTCTTCCTGCGTGGATAGGGCACGGGAATCCTCTCTGCACTTCAAGCTGCTTTATTACTTGACTCGGAGAAAGATATCCATGCTGATCCATGGTGGTTGATGTGGAGGTGCATGTTGACGATAAAGAAAAGCGAAGAGAATTCGTAACAACACAGTGGATGCTTGAGGGTACCAGATTGTTATCTAGACGATGGGAGTGACATATCTGAATCATTATAGGTACCTCAGCACTGATTCAATGAAGCAACGAAGATGTCAATTATCAGCTAGGAAAATTAGAAGACGTAAGTTATGCAACCAGGAAAGGCACATAGGTAGGCGCATTACCTACTAAGGTGGGTCCCCCACCATTTCTTTCCTCGACAACTAAGCTAACGTTGACCAGACAGGGACCTCGGATTTGAGGTTATCTGCACCCTTCTGTACCACTTTCCTCCGGGCCATCCATGATTCAACTGGCAGGAACCTACCTAGAAAATAGAAACTCACTAGTGTTGCTCATCCCCCATCTTGTCGATTACCTTGAATTCAAGATTGATCGTAGCATGGACCTTCCCTACCTCAAATGAGTTTATGTCATTGCTACGGAAGGAATCAGCCGTCTTCCGCTCAGCTCCCTTGTACATTGTGTGATATCGCTTCTTCGACCTACATGCTACATCTTCTCCATACATACACTAACATCTCCATACTTCGTCCAGTAGCTGGCGCGCATCAGGGCCCAGTTCCTGCATTCAAGGATTCTTAGTCTGCGCGTCCATGATATCCGATATCGAAGGCAGTCCTCCGTACTCCGTACAGTAGCTCACTCGTCAATTGTCTCTCCGCTCAGTGGCTTTTGGTTGGCCAATGGATCAATGATCTTCTCCTCATCTGTCGACATGCAATCTCGAAATACATATACATAGTTGTATCCAGCCTCTCACAACTGCAGCAACAGCAGAAGCAGCAACACCTGCAATTTGCTCATTTGTCCACTGCATTCCACAGGATTCATATTGCACCTCTGATGCAAGATGCAAGACAACCACCCTTTGCTTCTGATACGATGAGCAGGCTTGTCGCACCACAGGCGAGCGGCTAATGGACTGGCATATCTCCAAGTCAGGTTGTGCTTCATGCTTTATGTTGCAGATTGATGAGTCCCTAGGTACATACATACAGTATCCTTGACGACCCTGGTTCATGTCCAAGCCGCCTCCAGCTATGAACCCACTCCCCACCAGATCCTCACCAAGGTAATGCGATGCTGAATGGTTGTCTTGTTTTTTGTCTTGGCTTCTTTGGACTTTACTCGCTCGCGCCAGCAATAACGAGATCCACACGCTAAACACGAACAAGGTCCCATGTCTCCCCTCCCGTCCGTAGCCATCGACGCCATCGAGGTTTGTGTGAACCCTGCACTTTGGACCCCAGAGGCAAAACAACGAAACGACAAGGACCGTGATGTGCGCCGCGGGCCGAGCAGCACTGGCCAAGTGCTATACAAGACCATGACATGGGCTGTTACCGGGCACGAGACGTGACTCTCATGCGCCAGCCCAGAATCGGCGCCACGACGATAGGGTCCTGGAGAAGCGAACGGACATGCTGGAGTTTTCAAGCCAAGGCACTGAGGTACCTAGCAAAAGATGCTAATGTCGACTCCACGCTTGCGAGTCTGCGCCCCCATGCCCTGTCCTGAATACAGTCGCAGTGCTCCATGTCTATGTACAGTCACCCCGCTTGCTCAGTCGCTCCAGTATTTCTCGACAGCTTGCAGCAGTAGCATGGAATGGACAACAAGAAAAGACAGAAAACAAACCCGTACCGTTCTCGGTAGTAACGCGGCCGGGGTCGGCGTCGAATGAGACTCGAATGGCTCTCAGTAACACCTCTCAAATAACGCGCGCCAGTCTCTTTTCTCTTTGCTGTGATCTCAATACACCCCCTCCTCCAATCCCATTTGCGCTACTAATTAGCTACATAGTTGTGCCCTCTTTAATCCCCCAATTCGAGCCGCCGCCGCCGCCATACATGGCCCCTCCAACCCTCTCAAACCATCCAGCCCCTCGCTCCCCACTGGTCCCGGTCCTAATGCAGTGAGCGCAAGACCAATACACCCCTGCTGTCTTGTCCGTTGTCCAGAACAAGATCAAATCTCGACAGACTTGCGCGCTTGTCTCTACGTACATAGTTGCCGCCCTACCAGTGCCACCACAACTAGGTACACACTACGATGGCCCACGACCTCATCAAGGACCCTCACTACTCCATGTTCATGCATGGTCCGGTTTAGAGACGGGGTTTGGCTTAGGTATATATCATAGACCCGTTCCCCATCTTCACCCCAGGCTGTTATCATCGCCACTACCTCTTTTCCTCCTCCTCGCCCTTCTCCTACCGGCCAATTCCTCTTGTCATGGCCATCTTTGAATAATTTCTTTTCCCGTCATTGTATATTATTCCGGTGCCTCGAGTCTTGCAACGGTGCGACTGTGTCTCTCGTGCATAGTGTGATTGCTTTGGTACTTCCAGCGTCTCTGATTCACTTTCACCACAACACAATCATCTTGGACGGTCAACCACTATCAATTCCAGATTACGAGACACAAAGTCTTTTTTTGAAATCACTTATAAGCCCCTCCTCGTCCTCACTCTTTCGAACATCTATCCTCGTTGCGTGGTATCCATCAACAGCCGTGTATCACAAGAACATTTCTTCGCATCGCGGGATCAATAGCACCTCCTCCCACCTACCCACCAACCTCATTGGATCTCGACACTTGACAGCTTCAGCATGTCTGAATCTGAGACTCAAAGTATTGGGCGCAGCCATCTTCCTGGCTTCGCTGGGTTATTAACACAGCCAATGCCTTCTTTTAACTTTTGGTATTCAAGTACCTTTTGGCTGTACCTTTTTGTAGGCCTTTGGTAAGTCATTTCCACCTTGAAATAGAAACTATGTTTCTCAACAAGAAGGCTTTTATAAAGTCTTAAATCTCATCATGGCCTACCAGTCCTAACATGATCCCAGGGTACATCGCTATCTCCGTCTTCTAGTTCATTGCGTCAGCCATTGGACTTATAAGTCGAAGCCTATCCCCAGCAAACCGACGTTTACGAGTAAGGATGTGACTGTGGTCATCCCGACCATTCACAATGCTTTCGAGGAGCTGCGTCCTTCTCTTGAGAGCATTCTGGTTTGTGAGCCTGCCGAGCTGATTCTGGTCACAACGCATGATAAGCGAAAAGACCTCCAGCGCCTGGCAGACTCCCTGGTTTTCCCCAAAGTCCGTGTTTTGGATACTCCTATTGCCAACAAGCGCCTGCAGGTGTGCGAGGCGCTCCCCAAGGTCGAGACTCCCATCACTATCATGGCGGATGATGATGTGACCTGGCCCTCGACTCTTATGCCCTGGATCCTCGCTCCATTTGAAGACCCTCAAATCGGCGGTGTAGGAACTTGTCAACGAGTTCGACGGGAGCATGATGGTTCTTGGTCAACCAAGGCCTGGAACTGGTTGGGTGCAGCTTACATTGAGCGTCGAAACTTTGAGATTTCAGCCACCCACAATATCGACGGTGGCACCTCATGCATGTCTGGTCGTACCGGCGCCTACCGCTCCGAAATTCTCTCTAGTCATGACTTTCTCCACGGCTTCAAGAACGAGAAGTGGAGAAAGTGGATTTTGAATGCTGACGACGACAACTTTGTGACTCGTTGGCTGGTAAGCCACCAGTGGAAGACATGGATCCAGTACGATAAGGAGTGTGAAATCGAGACAACGTTGGAGAACAGCACCAAGTTTTTGTACCAATGTTCTCGTTGGGCACGAAGCAATTGGCGAAGCAACTGGACCAGCATGGTCACTGAACGCTACATTTGGACGTGAGTAAAAAAGAATTCTCCGTCGAAAATTTGTTTGGAGTGAAAAATATCTAACAAGAAACAGGCAGCAGTTATGGTGCACATATGCCCTTCACTTCGCAACTTTTACTTCGCTGGCCTTTGTCGTTGATCCGCTTCTCCTAGCTTCATGCTGGTGGGGAACTGCGGACTGGGATATCCAGAATCGCCGATGCGCTTTCTGGACTCAGTTTATCTTCATGTTTGCATTCACGAAAGTAGTCAAGCTGATGGGTCTGTTCATTCGAAACCCCAGCGATATCATGTTCTTGCCCGTTTCGGTCATATTTGGATATTTCCACGGATTGATCAAGCTATACGCCCTGATCACCTTGAATATGGTACGTTTTAATAAACAAGTACCAAAGCAATCAACTAATCATCCATTGTTTAGACTTCATGGGGTAGCCGAGCTGATGGAGATGCCAACGATGAGCAGCGACTTGCCCCCGCTCCGCAGCCTTCGATCGTTTTGAAGACTCCTCCTGGAAAGGGATCGCTTATTCGATATAACGCTCGTCAAAAGGGACGGCAACCGCAGGCACAGCAAGTCGCGTGGGAAAAGAGCGACTACGCCGCCTACGATTCAAGCACCTCGTATGTGCCCATACGAGTGCATACACCAATGGCAATAACGCCAAACAACACCAAGCTGCACGCGAACGAAACTTCGATCAGTTCACAGTGTTGGGTAATTTGACCTGGCGATGAAACGATTTGATGAGGCCATGAGTAACGTTTTCATTTTCATGTGGGAAGTTAATTGTCCATGACCAAAGGTCAAATGGAACGACGAAAATCTTCCTACCTTTCCTCTTCTACTACTTCTTGCACACCACACCACAGCCACCACCAAAAAAAAGGACGGATTGGGGACACAGATGGGAGGCCTTGTAAGAGGCCGGTTGGGCAAAAGTTCTTGCTTCTTTGAGGGATGATAATTATGCTTTTCCAGTCGACGGCCGCTGACGAGGTTGAGAGTGTCACCTTCTTGGAATGAGATATTTCCAAAGTAGATGAAAGACACGTGGTAACCTGAACAGCGAGCTTTGCTGGGCCAAACAATATTGGTGGGAAAGCAGTCAAGGCTATCATGACTACTAGCTTCTTGACTTGCTGACGAAACCCGAGCAAGAGTCATCTTCCCTCGTTTTGTAACAATTTGGGATCATTTGGGACTACGGATGGAGGCGATTCTAGGTGGTGTGTGAGACTCACAAAGGGTACACAAAGCAAAGCTAGCTTTAAGGCATGTGAGAGTGATAATCAAAACATTGGGAGATATCTCCTACCCGACAATTACTTGTTTATTGCCTCTGTGATCTGACTTGACTTGGTTCTGCTAGGCGGGTATAATGGGCGCAGACATTTCATACCCAGTTAAACCCACATCAAGAACAACCCGTTAGTTCGCGAGGATAGATGCAGACTCAGTAGAGACATTGAGTAACCTAAAATGGCATCGTTGACACTAGCTTCGAGTTTAGTGATGACAGCCCTAGCCTAAAGAAGAGAGTGAAGGATGGGTAATGGGCTGGCAATTAAAGATCCACAGCACCACCCACAAAGTGATTAGTTTCATAGTACGACAGCTCAGATGGTTTGCAGGCAGGCCTCGCTCAGATGTGACATTGGTCTCGAGTATGGCACACCAAAATCTTGCATCTGGTCAACTGCAGCAAGCTATCTTTGGCTTAGGGCTTGACATGTTACACTCGCATCTCGCGCAAGTGCCGGAGGTTGATGAGACAGGTAGCCACAAAGTCAAAAAGGAATTACTTATCGCATCATCTCTGAAGGTTTTTGTGCACACATAAAGCTTGGGATATCCAGGGTCCTGCCCTGTTAGGCAATGCGAGTCCAAGTCGAAACAGCGCGAGTCGTAATATGTGGCATCGAGGGTAAACAGGAACCACTTTCGTGTCATTGTCAGCCCGGTTTCCCTGATCACCGTTGCATCTTCAGCGGGACTCTCGACTTGAGATGAGGTGCAGGCTCAGACAAGACAGGGGAGTCTGGTTGGACAAGACTCAGAGTCAAGAAACAAGCCTGTAAGCCCCCACCAGCTTCCCCCCTCCTTGTCGGCCGAACCAAGACATCGATTCCATTTTCAATCTCCGTGTCCGTGACAGCTATCAGGTTAGATTATGTGTCAACTCAAGGGCCTCGCAGCATAGCGAGTGCGAATCACGATCACAACTAGAAGTCGAGGGAATAAGGTAGAATGGAAACGTAATGAGCCTGCTTGGAGGGGGAGGGGTTTGATCAAGTTCACTGGAGGGCCAGTGCGAGATAAACGCCAAGCACAGAGGCTAGAGTTTTCAAGTCAAGCTAAGCATTTGCGGACAGCGATCGTCTGCACTTGGCCTGCTTTGATATGATATGGATTCTGACGCGGGGTTTTTTTTCTTGATATCCACTTACGGAGCACAGTAGATATCATGATGTGAGATGGACAACGCAAGGCAAGGCAAGGTACCTAGATGTAATTCTGGTTAGCTGAGTCTAAGTCTGGGGGTATCGAGTATAAGCCAGGCTAGGCCAGGATTCCTTCAACAGGTGTACCATGATGCGACTGGCTTGTCAGCCTTAGCATCAGCATCGTGATTATCCTTCTCCCGTTCGTTGTAGTGTCTCTTCTTGGATCTATGTAATACATGTAGTGCATAACTGTATATACATAGACAACCAGCTGCAAAGAGGGTGAACGTGTCTGATGGTGTGGGTGTCGAACATTATTGCAACCTTTTGTGCATTATGAATTACGACTGTTGTCCACCATGTATGTCGTTCATTGTCGCAATGCCATGTTGGTTCTTGTCTAGCTTTCTGCGGGCCTTGGGGCTCTGCTACTTTGGTGTGCGGCCGGCATATGACCGTCATTGGACCGGCTGAGTTCGAGAAATGATATTCTTTTGCCAATAACAAGATAGGTACGGTATCAGAACTTGATTTTAGATGCTGTCGCTGGCGTGATATGTTGTGTGAGCTCACGAGCCCCATCGGGACTTGCAAAGTTGCATATCATGTTGGTTGACCATGGAGAAACATATCCAACCGAAATCCACAACGAATGAAGTCTGTGATGATGTTTTACTCCTAAATCCATCTCACCAAAGGACCTATCCTGCTTGTGTCACCAACCCAAACTTTGCCAAAGGTTGCAAATACCCCCACAACCTTGAATATTTCGCTTTGCATAACATCATCTTACATCGAATTGGATGCAGGTCCCTGGTCGTTTATCCTCCGGGAATAGTCTATCCTTTTGCAGATCTTTCGTCAGTCAGCAAGTGACCAATGTCGTTGATACGGGAGGTTTACTGGAGATTCCCCTTCTCTCGTCGTATCGCAACGCTCATGACACAGCTAGCCCCACGGGATGGGACGGATAGCCACATATCAGAAAAGTCACTGGGTAGTCGACAGTGTACATGTTGAAATTCGATCTGGCTGTCGAGTCACTGTCCCTGTTGTAATTCATCCAGTTGCTGCGCCGTGAACCCTTGCAAGTGCCCCGTTTCCCCTCTTTGTTGGCGAAGATATCATCGTGGGTCCAGAGCTCGGACATCAATCGGCAATAGCAAGGGTGGCATGGGTCAATCGAGTTCGTGACGCCAAGGGAAAGCCTCTGCAAATGGCGACAGGGTTTTCGTTTGATAGAGAACTACAACGGTTATCAAAAGTCGCATCAAGCGTTCCTGATGTTTCGGAATCGCATTAGTATGTGGTTTATCCTGCACAAAGGATGCCCCTCTATCATACACAGAAACCTGCCGACGTTGAACGCATGTAACAGCATATGCATACATATGCATGTCTTGGATTTTTGAGGTGGCTCTGTTTCTGTAGCACATGGATAAATCGCATATCTCTGCTCAGACGGTCCGGAACCCGATGAGATGATCGAGATGCTGAAGTATTGACTTGGTTATCTGCACCTCGTAGCAACTGTTGGTGGCTATAGCAAGTGAATCATGAAGAAACCATCATGATTGTCGAGGTACAACGAATCATATCATAAGGTACTGAATGTTGGTAGGTGACGGGTTTTGGTGCAAAGTCGAGATGCCTAATCGAGTGATAGCAACAAGCAATGGCCAAAGCTTCTCATGTCCGGCTGCCTGATGAGGCAACTTGAGATCTCGTACCGAGCGGGATCTAGATAGTAACTACCTTAGGTAGGTACGTGGTACATCCTTTCCCTCCCATAACGTCTATCTTTCTTTGGTGCTAGGTTGGAAGGTACTCACTCTAGGTAAGGTAGGTAAAGGTTGGAAAGAACCAGTTCGATCGACTCGGGAAAGTAGTTCGTAGTACGTACCTTCCCTTGGCTGTTCATTGGGCAAGCACTTCATTGAATCGTCAATCTTCCGTTCTCTCTTCCCGTCTCCATTCTTCATCCCTACAAGCTCAACCGAAGTCTCCTCTTCTGCTACTGTAGAGATGGCGCAAGAAAAGACCCCCGCTGAGATGGCGTCTGACGATTATCGACCCTCTAATGCAGTTCTAAGATCGACAAGTCTGTTCGCTCATCGCCCGTCAACTGTACACCCACCACCCATCCCCATATGCTTAGCTGCAGCTCGCTATCGGCCGGAGGCGTCACATCGCCAAATGCCTACCCATGACCAACAATGGACGTCTTGGTGTGAACCCTGCCGTTTTCTCAGGCACACCAACGCAATCAGAGCCAAGAGTTACTACAGATTCCGTCCCTTCCCGGAAGAAATGTCGCACAGAGACCTTTTGGCCATTGCTTATGGCTGCAGCCAAGTTCAATGTATTGACTGCCGTGAATTGTTGAAACGAAGCAGAACAAAAGAGGGTAATAAACAACGCTTTTGTTGGAAAGCCAGCTCTGCTTTACTTCTGATTTCTCCCGGTCGCAACTCGCCTATCAACTCATGCAGATACGTGGTCCCATGCGTCAATTACTTGGCCATAACTGTCACTGGCTCACACATTACTCCGTAAATGCAATGAATTACTCGCGGTCTTTATGCACCGTTTTCACAAAGCCCACCCGAACGGTGGGCGGAGGTGCGGCGGCTTACCATCGGTCGGTCATCGCCCACTCTTCGGAGGTCCGCTACAAGTCGCAAAGCCGCAATAGCCGCCGGGCCGGTCCATTTCACCATGGACCCTTAACAGAACTCAATGTATCGCTTGTGTGGGAAACTTCCTCCACGTTTATTATCAAGAGTCGATGGATAATTATATGCGGACTGGGGTTGAGCAAGTCTACGGCGCAGAAACTGCTCACCTAGTGGCGCAATGTTTTCTCCTTCATCTCTCGATATGCAGGTTGTTGTCTCAAAATCGACTGTTGAACATCCTAACTGCGCTACCTGAAGAACCTAGCCCAAAATACACGCGATAGATTTTAGTGTCTCAAAGAACCCTGGCAGCGTCAGGCCAGGCTAACGAGGCACACTGCAGGTGTGTTTATATCATCAGCGTCCGAGCGTGCATCCTGCAGGCCATGCTTGCGTCGCGCCGTCTTTCTCCACTTACTAAATCAAGCGAAGTTGGCATTTTGGAGAGTTCGTGTCGACAACACATCGAACACTTGCGGGGGAGGGGATCATGATAGGCTGTGAGCAAGCAGGTGGCAGATAGGCACGGGCTTGTTCTTTGACCACCATCGTGATGCTAGCTCCGGATGTCATAGTTTTGATCTCTTGTCAGTGATCTTGTGGGCACATCGTGTGATGTGCCATGTAAAGCCAGTCTGATACATGTGAATGCTGAACTCGTCTCCATCGGCTATTTTCTAGATCAATGACGCCCTCTGAATAAGGTATGCCTTCCGTGCCAAGAAAACTACTGATCTATCGATCAACCGAGGCAGGGTTTAACACGATAGCGTACATAGTACATGATCAAAACATGGGGTAGTTGACTTATGCCTCGGACAAGGTGGTACCAACGCCTCTATTAAAAAGGTGCAAGCAATGAGGCAAAAGATATAACAAAGAAAACGTGATACGGCCTATGCCTCGTTTGTAAACTTGGTTCAAAGACCAAATGTAGATCTTTACTCGTGAATTAATCAGCTAATGCGGCGATTGCCTCAGTTCGCGGCTCAACCTCCAGGCTCACAAGGGCGTTTCTTGTTCACGATACGAGATAAAGAGGCTATTATTATGATCACATAACACATTGCAATGTCTCAAACGTTCCCTCTACATGACATTTCTTCGAAACTTTTGTTATAGCCCTTGACGTTAGCATAACTATACTAAAATGCCGTCAACTTTAAAAGACTCTATAGAGCAATTAATGAAATCAAACAACTCAACCAACATAGAATCAGAATTCTTATGGTGTTTAACTCAAAGTCCCTGTCTCAAATATCTCGATGTAAGTGTCCAGCACGGAAAGATTATAGGTAAAAAGAATAGGAGTATTTACATCTTGAAGACATCATATGTGGACAAGGACCTGTGCCAGAAGTTCAGCACAACACGGTGGAAGACGTATATAACTCTAAAATCAAGGATTGTGACTATATAATACAACCCACGATGATCATGCTTGTAGTCTCTATCTTGAAGTGAGCAGTGCCCCTTGACTACAGTGGCTGTTGCAGAAAGGAATCAGGGGATCAAGAATCGAAATGTTGCATTAACTCGCTAGCAATACCCAGAATTACAAAGCACATTGAAAAATTGCCCCCATAACCCAGTCACCCACCTGATTCCAATATCCAATAAGCTTGGACGTTCCCACGCGCCAACGTCCTCGATCTATTCCCTCGTGCCTTTATACTGAGCCTCCAAGATACAGGATGTTCTGCTTGATGGGCTCAGTAAGTGCGACTCGTCCGGTGTAAACATGTGCGACAGTGCCCTCCCAAGCGTGAGGATGTGGGAGGGGGATCTCAACCGTGGCACCAGGACGGACGTGTTCTGAGAGAATGACAGCTGCCAGGACGGGAAGGTATGTTCGAGCATAACTTAGGCCTGAGGAAAGTTAGACATGGTTCTCGAAGCCGTGATGTTGACATTGGGGAGCTGAACTGATATATTTGAGATCAAGGGCCAGTGACTTACGTATAGCGACAGGACCGAAACCCTGGCGTGAGCCTCTTCGTTCAAAAGCTGGCGAGTGCGTCGGATCTAATCCAGGGAGAGCACCATGGGAATGGCGTCTTTCACGAGGGATTCCGGGGGAGGATGCTCGAGAACTGATAGAATGAGGTTGAAGGGTTACAACTGATGCACGCCTATCCTCTTTGTGTCGTTCAAGAGGGCTCATAACTGGAAGTGTAGCTCTCAACTCGTCCAAGTCGAAAGTTCTTGTGAGTATAATTGACTTCCGGCCAGGGGAATGAACAGCCACACGGGTAGTCAAACGTCTCTCTGGAGGATAGGATGAAGACGCTTCCGCGTCACTCGGAGACAACTGAGACAAGCGACGAAGCTCGACAGGTAACACAAATATCTCAGGCTCACGAGGTCTATATGATGCTGCGATCCATCGCCGACGATGATGCTCTCTTTGTCGAGCAAGGTGCATGGCTCTGGCGTGAAGAGGGCCACCAGGGGCAGACTGTCGGCGCTCATAGTCGACATGAGGAGAGTCACCACCTCGCTCAGCGTCTGACTCCTGAAGCAACATGCTTCTTGTCTCATCTGCTAGAGTAGGTCTTTGGAAAACTGGAGGAGCTAAGAGTGGCGCAGAAAGGGGAGAGCGCCGAGATGGGAAAGTGCTGGGGCTAGAGCTTAAGAGAGAAGGTTGTGCAATCGGTCTCAAAGAAACATTGCATAGACTGGACTCAAGCTTGGGCAGATCACGCTTTCGGGGTTCCAGCTGATCAACTCCGGTATCATCATCTTGCTCCATATCATCATCTTCGGGCTCTCGAAGTTGTGGAAGAAGTCGACTGTGGGGTGATAGGGGTGAAGGGGTCCATAACGGGCTCTTTTGGATGACACGGGATCGCAAAGATCGGACATTGAGACCAGGACCTGAAGTTCGGATAGGTTCTATGGATGGACGAGGTCGGGATTCAGAGGCGACTGTGGTCATGGTAGCTATGACGAGGAAAGATGGAGTTTCACGAATATATTGGATAGGTTATGGGTAGGCAGGCAACTAAGAATGAGACACGAACCAGGAGGTTGATACTGCTGGGTCTGAAAGATGGGAGAGTAAAGTATTATGAGGAATGAGGAGCAGCCCTCCCTCCCATGGCAGGATAATAAATATCTGATTATTGGAATAAAATGGCGCTGACTCTTAAAGAAAGGATGACATATGCTATGCACATTTGCCCCAACATGCTCTGACTTCAGAGATTTCAACACAAAGGAGTTAGCCATATGGCGCTGGTGTAAATCTTTGACGAAATGAAAGTGTGTGCTTGCTAAGCCAGAGAACAAAGAAATGCGGCTTGCTCTAGGCAATGGATGCCGACATGATGAGTCTACGTCCGCGGGACAGAGCCCGCTTTTGGTTGGCCTCTCCGACCCAGCGGCCTGAATGAGGCGCTGTGGAAAGCCTGACCTGTCGAACACCTCAAGGATATCGTGTTTGTTGGTGTGAGGTTGAAGACGGAGACTAATACTGTGTAGAGGCCGTATGATATTGGTGGTGAGGATGCACGTGACAAGGTGTCCTGTCAAAGACGCAACGTCTCATTGGCTGATTGGTCAAAGCTCCCTGTCCAGCAGCCTCGGGCCCCTCCATCTCAATATCCTACGACAACTTTACTTACACGTTACAACGTGGTAACTTTATCACGAACAAGGCTGACTTGAGCATTACTTGTCAACTTTGACAGGTATATTGCCTCCACCGTTTCTTAGTGCCCGAACCTCTACTCTCTCCTAAATTATGCGCTGAGGCTTGCCATCATTTGCCGCCGGCCATGTCTGAATCCGCGAGCTACAAGCAACGAAAGGAGGACTTTGTGTCCAATCTCTCTGGCGGCTCTGTCGCAGAAATCAATTATGTTACATCCGTTGCGGCTGTTCGTACCCTTATCCCGCCCGCCCATACCATGCCGTGCGTGAATAGTTGCTAATTTTGAATTGTTACAGGTAGCAATTATCCTGTGGTCCGTCCTCCAAGCCCGCCAGTCCTTCTTCGAACCGTATACCGTACTCGCATTCGCTGTTGATTTCCTCCTCAACGTTGGAGCCATTCTCCTGTCGATAACTCTCTATTCAAAATCGCCGCTTCTTCTTAATCTTCTTCTTATTGCGCCTACGATTCTCGTCTTCGTCATCCCACCTCATTCTATAAGTCGAAAGAAGAAGCTCAAGGTCCCTCCAAATGCGCGGTCCAAGGAAAGCTCTGGGCATCTTGATATCTTATCAACGAAGCCTTTCCTCACAAACTTTCGCGGCTGCATGATGATTGTCACCTGTGTGGCCATCCTTGCTGTCGATTTCCGCTTATTTCCTAGACGTTTTGCCAAGGTTGAGACATGGGGTACTTCTCTGATGGACTTAGGTGTTGGATCCTTTGTCTTCTCAGCTGGCCTTGTTGCAGCTCGTCCTGTACTGCGCGAGAAAGCGATCGGTCGCACAACAGGTCGGGCAACACCCCTTTCCCACCGGATCGTGCATTCGCTGCGCCATTCTATCCCACTACTAGTCCTAGGCTTAATACGTTTCCTGAGTGTTAAGGGTCTGGACTATGCCGAACATGTGACGGAATATGGCGTTCACTGGAACTTCTTCTTCACACTTGGTTTTCTGCCCCCTTTTGTTGCCATCTTCCAGTCAGCTCTGAAATGGATTCCTTCATTTGCAGCCCTGTCGTTGTTGGTGGGCGTCACATATCAAATTCTGCTTGAAACCACTAGTCTCAAGGCGTATGTCCTGACAGCCCCCAGGACGGACCTAATTAGCATGAACCGAGAAGGTATCTTCAGCTTTATTGGATACCTGGCAATTTTCCTTGCTGGACAAGACACGGGCATGTTTGTCATCCCCCGTAATATTCCCCCTAAGAGTACTGCCAGCCCTGGAGCTCAGAGGAACACGCTTCTGATGACCATGGCTGTTTGGGGCGGCGTCTGGACTGGACTCTACTTGCTCTCCACGAATTATCACTACGGTTTCGGTTTGGCAGTATCCCGTCGAATGGCAAACCTACCCTATGTTCTATGGGTTGTTGCCTTTAACACCTTGCAACTGTTTGGGTTTGCGGTCATCGATACAATATTCTTCCCTGCCTTTTATAATGCACAAGACGCCAAGACGGAGAAGGAGACTTATATTCAAGCCACCAGCCGTGTGATCCGAGCATATAATCGTAACGGATTGGCCATCTTCTTGTTGGCAAATTTGTTGACTGGCTTGGTTAATATGACAGTCAACACACTGGATGCTACTCCCGTATTGACAATGGGAATATTGGTTGCATATACCGCAACGATCACAGGGGTTGCGGTGGCATTGGATGCTTATAATATCAGCATTAAGCTTTAAGCATGACATTTGGCATTTTGATCTTGCACATCTAGCGCAGCATTTCGTCGGCCTTGCGGTCATTATGTAGCATATCTAATAGAACGTGGTCAAATACGCAGGTAATGAGTTGAACATATGTTGATCCTGTTGGTACACTAATGCAACTGCTGTAATCCCTTGGCAATACTCGATGGTCGGCTCTAATGTTTGCATTTCCAATGGTTCGTGGTCATTTCATAGTGAAGGGATTGCGCACGACTTCTTCATGCATTAAGAGGTGCGCTACAACGAGTTCGCATACCATGCTGTGTGGACTGTGTGTATATCCAAGCACGAGGAATGGAGAAGGCAATATTCTAAATTTCTATTAGATGATATGAGATAGTCTGACTTTTGAACAGTGTCATGAAAGGGACACCTCTCCGTCTACAATACCTCGAGATCAAACGAGGCATTGTTCTATCATGAATGGAAAACCTGGTACTTCTTGATGATTCCAGGCAGTCTTTCTTAAGCCCATAAGCAGATCACAAAGCAATACGCTGAATATATGTGAATGTCACCGTAACATGTATACCTGGCTCGATATTGAGGATGAGTCGTTGCACTGTGTGAATCCGGTCACCAAGGCTTTTTCTGTTGGTGACTTGATAGATTCAACGCATGGAGATTGCTAAGTACTAGTAAGTAGTACCATCCGCAAAGTATGTCGCATGAGCAAACCCTAGTCATGACTGCTATAGGAGCATGAATTTATCAAAACTATCACACCAAAGATCAAGAGTGACATCGGGAGTGCAGATCGAGAGGGGAATCAAGGCCATGAATAGGATCAAGTCATGCCTTAGAGATGAACTGTGGATGGGATGTGACGCGATCTTGACTTGTTTGCGATTGCGGTTCAAGACGCAAGCAAATCGAGGATCTGAGTTAGGTATCAAGGCCTTATCGATGACTAGGATGACTGACCCAGTATGTCACTTGGCGGCTCATCATGACCAGGATGGACGCGTCGCGACAGGAAGTGAGGGGTGATTCCAATTTCAGCTGAAATGTATATAACGTACCATTTATACATGATTTAGTGGCTCAGCTGAGAAGGGATCTATTGAAAAGCAAAGGATGACAAGCTATCATGACGGGTGAAACCATGTTCATGAGACGTATCAACTTTGACGTTTATGAACAAATCACTCAAACGTGAAGCCTGATCATCAATTTCCAACTCAATTCTCCCAAAAGGACGGATTTGTTTCTACAGACGGCGACGCCGAAAGATGACGTCTGAAACGAAGAAAAGAAGTCAAAGCAACCTTGTCAAGCTCAAATTCACGTCAGATGGATCCCTGTCCCCTTTACGCGTAGCTCATCTCCGGCATCAATGCTGGCTGGCTCTTGGACCTCAACACCACAAGCACAGTCATATTGTGCGAGTGCCCGTCGAAAAACAGTCGTGCACGTTCAAATGACTTGCTAAATGCATCCCATTTCCTCATCTGCCCTGGTCTAGCACGTCAATGTTAGATAAATATATATATCGTGGCGTCTAAGTCGCGGGAAAATAAAAGATAATTATTAGGGTGTTTCAGAAGTCTGTGGAAAAAAGGGACTGTCTCGGGATAAATGGTTAATGCCAACATAGCCTGAGAAACACATGCAATACAATCATTGCTCGCAAGCCGCAACTAAGAATTCTCTGTTGATGAAATCATCAAAAGAATTCGGTTGTTTGATCTGGGGAAATGAATGACAAGCGAGATTCGAAGCTGATGAAGTGTGCAAAACCCCAGAGTCATGCATGACATTCGATTCAAGCAAAATCAAGGAAGAATCCATGGGCTTGCTCCCAGGGAAAATGCCGCGAACAAGATGATGACTTATATATCCTAAATTCGCAACACATCATCTCACTTTAAGGAGTAATAAGTCCTAAGATTGCCTATATCAAAAAGTGCTATTAATTTGTGCCAAAGTTTATAGCCCTTCATTTTTTCTCAAACTATTATTAGTGATTCACATCATGAACCAATATATTTACTTGAAGGTGAGGTCACTATACCAAGCCATCACCGTAACAGTAATCATCCTCGTTGACGTATCATGCATGTGTTGGACAACTTCTAAAAAGTTCCGCTCCATAAAAAAAAACCACTAGATCCGACAAATCTTATGCCGTAGCAGTAATAACTCTACGAAGTAAAGTGCGCTCGTGACGAGCTTAGTGATTGTGATGTGTATGCCGAGGTAGGGAAGAGGTTGTCAAAGTTGAACCTTGAACCTGGGCATCACATCTCGACAGCTGAATCAAGATTACATTGTGTGAACTGAAAGAATTTGGCAGTCAAATCATGGAGGAAAACTGAGTTGCTTTTTGTATATGCTACGCTTCTCGGTCTTACTATCATTACAGACTTGAGAATGCAACTAGTTACACCTAGCCGAGTTCGACGAGCGGAGCAAAAGCTCAACCCTGGGCTCATCTGCCTATTGGGAGAATCGTCTTATATATGTATGAACTATAACGCGATTCCGTTACTTCTATCTTTACTTCTCGAAACAAGTGGAAACTTGACCTCGAGCTTCCTTTGTTCTACGTAGTGCGGGCTGAATACGAGGAACAGGATCATGGACGGGCCCAGGCGAGACGGACCGTGGGATGAGCTGTTGGAGCTGATCATCAAGTATGGTACCTTGCTCTTAATGCATGCAGGGAGCCTGAGGGAGAACAAAGTTGATACGCCAAAATTATAATTATAATACGTACATGCAAACGGCTCAACGTTATCCGTCGGACGCACCCATGTAATGCAGTTGGCTTGGAGTCTTGGACTGTCATCCATCGACACTACCATCGACGGCCTGACCGACAACTTGCTCACAATATCGTGACGCGGGTTGCCGTAAATGTCATCAAGAAGAAGAAAAGCCAAAGCTGAGACCACCCACCTTCAGAAAACAACCCTCTCGCGAAGCCCACTTGTAAGATTACTGGTCAATGCCTCGCATCACATACCGGGCAATTCGTCCTTGCCTTGGATGTCAAGACCTCCCTGATTGAGTTGATGTTCCTGTCAGCATGCGATACACAATATTGAGTAGATGCCCGTAGTGACCGACGTTGAAATTATTGGCTTCAGGCACCAAATTCAATTCCAAGTACACGACGTCAGACGAACAGGGACCTGAGAAAAGGTCTCGGCTGGGCAGAACTTAAGTTGGACTAGCTTCAGACGCCTCGAAACAAGGGCCATGGGTGAAGGGCACGGGAAAGGTCAAGAGACTTGATGGTGCGAGCACTGGCCGATGGCTTTCGGTTGAAGCATGATATCTAATCTCGAGAAAACAAGAGACCTGAAGATTGAGAGAAGGGAGGGTTGGTAGAGAAACAAGAGCCTTGTTTTGTTTTGTTGGGTCAAATAATGCCTCGTCCTCGTCATTCAATATCCGTAAATGAGTTATTGAACCGAAGGTCTAAATACTTGCCATTTTAAAGTTGACGGCAATTGTAACTCTGTGAGTTATCAGTTGCGGGATATTATTCTATTAACCAGCTGATAGTGTCAATATCGGGAACTAGCTATAAGAGATCTCCGTCGGATGAGACACAAAATGGAGATGCAGCTGGAGTTCAAGATGGAACACAAAACTGTATCCCGTACCGTACCTGCAGGAACGACAGCGCTATATTCAGGGGTACTGCAGTGGTGCTCTGTATTGTGCTCGATTCAGGTGATACGTACCCTCATAATGGATCTTGATGCATTCAAACCCATGCAAAGTCCCCCTTCCAGCCAAGGTTATTTTTTCCCCTCGACTCCTTGCATTGGATCATATACAAGGTCAGGCAGGGTATGGATGGCATCTCGAGACTTGACAGATTCCCACTGAAAAGTCTCATAAAAATCAATGCTCTAACACTTTTTCAGTTGAGAGGCGCCCTAGTTTAATCAATGGGTCGGATCAATGTTGTTGTTAGTGTTTACTTTTACTGGAATTGATGAATTGACTGACTGTTGACTCTCCATTGGGAGATCCATGATTCGAGGGCCCCATACCTGCAGCCCAACCTACCCTACCCTGGTCTCCTAACGTTAGTCTCTTAGAACGTCTCATCTCGTCCTGGCGCCCGAGTCTTTGAGTCTTGAGAGTCCCATCTGGGAAATTGATGAATGGCTTCCCTTCTCTCGGACCAGGGTGTTATACATGAGAAACGACTGTTTATCCCGCATGAAATTAAGTACCTCGAACCTCTTTAGGTCGGATTGACGCTTGTTTCTGCTTCCCTCCCGTCCACTAAATTTACTGGCTTACAAGGGCATGTGGCTGTAAAGTTCCCTTCAGACTCCCTCCACCTCCAAGTTCCAACCTCTCGACTCTCTGTCTGACTCTGGTAGCGCGAGAGGCCCCGACTCAAGACACGGTCCTCACACCATTTTGCTAAACTTTCCTAACGTTAGGGACCTGGCTTGTTTGGTTTGGTTTGGTGGTTGGCAGTCGTTCTGTTACCACATCCGTTTAATTGAACCTCGTTCCCGATCGATTCTTTCCCTTCTTCTTCATTCGCCTGTTTCTGGCGATTTGATATTTCACGTCTTTTTTGACGTTTGCGCGTCGCTACTATCGCATAGCATAGCATCGCATTGCATTGCACGTTAGGTCGAACCGACGATCTCAACCATCGCGCGCCCCAACCTCCAGTCCAGTCAAGTCTCGTCTCGTCAAGCCCAATTGGATCCAGTCCTATCAAAAAAGGGGAGTTAATTAGCACCTGCAGGACCCAAGGCGCAGCGAAACAGGGCATCAACACAACAACAAAAAACAATACCTACGTCCATACAGTTCAGTGCCATTCGCAGCCCAGCCCTGTTCGGCTGCCAACGCATCCAGCGTCGGCCGTCATCCAATCCTGATCCGCCCGTCACGGCCGTTTAGCTGCACCTCAGACCGCAGAACTCAGCTTTGTATTGGATCAGTCCCATTCGCTCCGAAAATATAATCAGAAGCCAAAACAAGCGAGCAAGAAGACGCAGCAGCAGCAGAAGCAAGAAAGCGGATACGACCGATATCGAGTAATTCGCAATTCGTCGCGCGCGCACCATGAGATAGTCGAGACACGCACGAACTCAACTCTGCTCTCCTCCTGCTCAAACTCATTTTTTAGTACTCGTTCGTTGATTTCGAAACGGTTTCCCCCGTCCTCGTCGCTTACAATTGCTTCTCTGGCGCCGCGTGCATTTTATCCCCGGTTCAGCGCTTCCCTAGACTGGGCTGTCTGAAACTGCCAGGTATTTCGACCTGCATATTCGCGTCCGCCGCCTGGCTTTTTTTTCCTGAGCGCCACTGTCAGAAAACCTCAACTCTCGCGCACACCGTTGTATCATACTTTAAAAACGCTCTGCCAAACGGTTTGATCCGTCAAATTTATTTTACGCGTCTGGGCGTGGAAGATGTCGTCGGCTGCCTTACAAACGGCCCCCCATCAACACACCGCTCTGGCCTCGTCCCCCTTGAGCACACCGTCGTCCCGCCAGTACAGGCCCTCACATTCATCCCCTAACGGTAACGGCCAGGCGTACAATGCCCAGCAGACCTCGACCGCTTCTTCATCTTCGCGACGACCTCCTTCACGAAAAACGAACGACAGCGCTCCCTCGCCTTCTTATCATCTAGCTCCCGGCTTCGGTTCACCCGTCACCGCCTCAGCGCCTAACGACCAAGAGCCTTCAGCCTCTGCCTCCGACTGGCAAGGCAACATGCCTCCTGTCGCTCCCCCAAGGACCTCGTCCAACCACCAGAGTGGTAGTTCGCGGAGGTCCCAGTATCCTAACGAAAAGTCTACCAATTCTCCCCGCCGAAACGAATCCGCTCGAACTGGTTCGCGTGGTGATTCAGCGGCTGCAGAGAACGGTCACCGAAGCAGCAAGGCTGACGCTGCTGCCCGAGCCAGTAGCCGAGATGGCAGGGCCGCAACCACTTCCATGCCAGTCCGATCCGCACACAGCACACCCTCGAAACCCGTCCACGATGCCACTGACAGCTTAACGAAAGCCATTGCTGCTGCTCAAGATACCATCGACCGGGATCGCAATCATGGTGCAGTTCAGCATAGCGTCGAAGATGCCGCAGCGCCGCCTCCTGTTGTCGCGACGGGCGATCACCACGAGGAACGACGAGGACAGCGAAGTCGACACGATCATAGCCGAAGCCACAAGGGCAATACCAAGTTCGGCGATTTTATTCTGGGCAACACTATCGGTGAAGGTGAATTTGGCAAAGTGAAACTGGGTTGGAAGCAGGACAGTAGCGTCCAGGTAAGCTCGCAATCGATGTTTTTGGAGACGCTCAACTCATAATATCACAGGTTGCCATCAAGCTCATCAAGAGAGACAGTGTGGGTAGCAACCCCTCTCGTTTTGCCAAGATTTACCGCGAAGTTGCCATCCTTCGCGGAGTCCAACATCCTAATATTGTGCGTCTAATCGACAAGGTCGAAACAGACCGACACATTGGCATCATCCTCGAGTACGCGTCGGGTGGTGAACTTTTCGACTACATCCTTAACCACCGTTATCTAAAAGATAATGCGGCTCGTCGCTTGTTTGCCCAGCTTGTGTCTGGTGTTGGATATCTCCATAAGAAGGGAATCGTACACCGGGATCTGAAGTTGGAAAACCTGCTTCTCGATCGAAACCGCAACATTATTATTACCGACTTTGGCTTCGCCAACACCTTTGACCCCAACGAAGAATTGAGCAAGGATGAAGAGCTTAATCTCACAGATAAGGAATTTGTGAAGCGAATGGGCTTAGACCGGGTCAAGATGAACGGCTCCAGGAAGGGTGATCTCATGCAAACAAGTTGTGGAAGTCCTTGTTATGCCGCGCCTGAACTGGTTGTCAGCGATTCTCTTTACACGGGACGCAAGGTGGATGTCTGGAGTTGTGGTGTCATCTTGGTAAGTCGTGCGATTGACACAGAATGAAAGTTGGGACTGACCATTCCTTATAGTATGCCATGCTCGCCGGTTACCTCCCCTTTGATGACGATCCCGCCAACCCCGAAGGCGACAACATCAACCTTTTATACAAGTATATCGTGACAACACCTCTGACTTTCCCTGAATACGTCACACCTCACGCTCGAGACCTTCTCCGCCGCATTCTCGTCCCTAATCCCCGTAAGAGAGCGGATCTTTTCGAAGTTGCTCGACACAGCTGGTTGAGCGAATACGCGAACCTCGTTGAGTTCATCACAAGCTCGACAACATTACCGTCAGAAGTCCCCGATTCGGGCGCGTCACCGGACGACTACGCCGAGGCCCCGACCATTGCCCGAAGCTCATCTGTCCGCGAAGCTTCCAAGCAAAAACAATCTCATCCTCCTGTTGTTGGAGGGCTGGCGAAGACTCATGGCAGTGTCGATCCCGAATCTGAGACTACTCATCGCAGCACACCGAAGGATGCAAAGCGAAGAACAGTCCAGGTCGAATACGTGGCCCCTACAACGAAAACTCAGCGTGGTGCAGACGCTGCGCCTTCAAAACCTAGTTCCCATTCCCTCCAACAGCAGGCACCTGTGGATGTGCTTGAAGCCAATACTGAGAAGCCTCTCCCACGTGAACCTCCTATGACAAAGGACAACCCTTCTCGTACCCAGTCGAGACGTCCCCAAAGCTCGCACAAGAGCGCTGTTCCCCACAGGCCAGCTCGCGATACCCGCGCCACCTCCGACAATGCCTTTATGACTGGTCCAACCAACACAGCAAGGCCAAGGACCCAAGGCTCAATGCAATCTTCTGCGTCAATGGGTCTGCAGTCTCATGGCAACTATGGCCAGCCTGCACCTCCTACTATTGCCGATACAAATGCTCACGGTCGAATTCAACAACCTCAAAACCCTGACGATGAGGAGAATATCGCTAAGACTGTGGGTAGTGTCCCTCCCAAGGTGATGAAGATGTCTACTTTCCAGAATGAGACAAAGTCGACAGGCAGAGGTCACAAGAGGTCAAATACCCTGGGTGATCTTGGTAACAAGATCATGGGCCGTAGCGGATCTATCTTCGGGGGACGATCTAAGAAGCGACCAGAGCAGCAGCAGCAGCCTGACAAGTCACGGAAGTATCCTCCCGTCAGTATGCCCACCACCATGATGCCAGGTGAGGAAGCTGGTCCCAGGCCCTCCATGGAATCAAAGGCCTCTCGACGATCATTCTCTCTCGGTCTTGGAAAGAAGCGTAGTGGCAGTGTTCAAGGTTCCAGTGATAAGAAGGACCGTCGGTTCTCTCTGGTCAAGGCGATGGGTCTGGGTAAGGATCAGGGAAGTGTAACTGGATCCGAGGCGGATTCACAACAGGATTTGCCCATCCAACATCCTCGAGCTGAGCAGCTCCGTGGCTACAGCGCTCACGAAGAGGCTCGACACAGCGAACCCTACCTTGACGCTCCCTACGAACAATACCCTCAGCGTGATACAGCACAGTCCAGCCCTGTGTACCACACGCGCTATGCGAACGCTCAACAGGATGGTCGAAGACCCAGCGCAATCCCTACATACATACAAGGTAGTCATCTGAACACAGGCTCGGACTCTTCTGTGGATGTGCGACGACCTCCCACTGATTCAAGGTCTCGCCCATACCAAGCGGATTTCTCAGAATCAGAAGGTTATGATGGACGCCCAGTCGGAAGCAGTCGTGACGACCGATCAAGTGTGCTTCAGAAGAGCCACAAGAAGTTTGCGGATGCGTACGATGGGGAGAACTACCGTGGCCACGAAGGGAGCAGCGGAGCCGCCAAGCGGGTGATGGATTTCTTCAGGAGACGCGGAAAGGCAAGGGGTGGTGAGGATCGGTGAACAAAGCATGCGTTCAGCACCAGGAGTTAACGGCGTACCGTCTGAGTTTGAAGATCTCTTGTCTGGAAGTTCCGCACCAATGTTCGCAGTTGGATGCCATAATTGTCATTATCTATTATTTTTTGCCGGGACGCTAAGCACCACACACATTCATCTACCAGTAATGAGGGACGAACACCAAGGGCTCTCGACGATGCCCATACGCAACTTGGAGACCGCCTAGGGTTGGTCCTCTCCATAATGCACGCACATACCTACACATACTCACATCACATCATGGCGCAAGGGGATACGAGATTGAGACTGGGTGGTGGTCCCGGATGGTTATACTCTACACTCTACTACATACATTTACTCGGTTAAGCAAAGTTTGTTGTTTCATAAGCGGTAGATTGGGGGAACAAAGATGTGGGCTGGGTGACCCAATGTTTCTGTACATTCTGAATCGCTGAAGAAGAAGAAGGAAGATGAGAAGAGGGAAAGTGTTTTATTTTATTTGTCTGTTCGTATACAACGCATCTCAGCCAGGTTTGTCTCAAAGAAGGTATTAGCGACCGGAGCCAGAGAATTCGAGTGACTTGAAGTTGTTTGGCTTGTGACTAAACTGTTCTGTTTGCTACCAGTGAAGGAGATGGAAGGAATTGATCGACGATGGCCAAGTGAGGACGCTTTGACTAGAGCTGCCATATATTTTACGTAGACATACCTATATGAGATGTTAAAGAGAAATCTATGTAGGAAATTACACTTTTCAATACTTGAATTTCTGAGTGCTTGTTCATATCTGTGATGTCATGCATGAGTCAGTTTGAGTATATGTTGAGTGCTGACCGACAGACGACTTGCAATCAGCAGGTGTGTACTCTCATATATGAGGAAGATGACATAAGTTAAATTCGGCACACATATGTTGCTAAATCAGCCCAGGAAATCTCAAGATTTACTATTATTTAACATAAGTTCTAAAGTTAAGAGGAGAGTTTAGGTAACGTTTGTACATAGTACTCAAGTTCTCCAAAACTACCTACCCTAAAGTCACACAACAAGTCATGATAAACGCAGTAACATGTCTTCGCGAACCGAACGTCCTTTGTGCCGCGGCTAGAATTTGTATAGTGGTAATTATGGTAGTTATTTTTGACCATACCTTCGCTACCGTGGTATCCATGGAAGTATTCATCGTCCGAGGACTGAGATGTTGCATTCTAAGCCTGCAAAGTTGCCTAGGGTGTCAGAGGAGGAACCTTAGCTGGCGAACCATTTGGGCCAATAGCGGTAGTAGTTACAATAGAATTGAAAGAAGTTATAAAGTTGAACGTAGGAAGTGAGCTGGTAGACTGTCATTGGGTGCTGAGAGTTTGAATATTGACATAGGGAGTAGTCCGGGCAGTGGTCTCTACACGGTCCGAGGGCTGAGTTGTATTGATAAGCTGTTATCTGGCTTGCTGTATTACGCTGGTGGCAATCATGGCTGGCTGTGTGGTACTACTACTAGTAGTACTGGGAGCTTGAGCGTTTGCTGGTTGAGCTAGGAGCTGTAAGTCTTTGGTTAGCCTGTGTATCCATATTGAGGATTGCTTGGTACTGCTGGATTTGGGCATGGAGGGCGAGGTGCTCGGCAAACGAGACGACAGTCCCTACGTTTGTGATCATAACGAAGACACTGTCTTAGTTTAGCGTGACAACGCTTACATGATCTATGTTGGTTGAACGTACGGAGTATTATCCTAAAATTTATAGATTTTACCGTCAACTCTGAATATTAGGTATGTCTAAGAATAATAAATTTAGGCCTTTTTAGTTTTATTACCTCTTTTCTTAATTTATTTTGAATATCCTATCTAAGGATAATTAATGACTTTAGACATATTGGACCAATGAATAAGATTTAGACGAATCTTGCCTAAACATCAATGAAGGAAACTGGTCAAATCTTTTAGACTAACATGTGCTGTGAATGGCTTCAGGTTCAGCTACCTTCAACGGTTTGCCTTTGTTCTTTTGACCAGCTTCCAAAGTTGAGCTGTAAATAACAAGACCCCGCTCACCGTCATCGCAGTTGCGTTAGCATCTGGCTGAAGAGCACTCTCTTTGGTGGATTGGGTTACGTGGATTGCGTCGCGTATTGGGCTACCAGAGGCGGAGCCCATGAAGCAACTCCGACGGCGTATTGACCAATTCACCATTCGGCTCCGACTCTGGTTACACCCGAGTGGTATCCCCGTGTGATACATGCTTTGTTGTCATGTTGCGTCACTTGGAGGGATGGACTTGTCCTTTCTTACGTCGAGTAAGCATTGTTATCGGTCAAGGGACAACGGTACGTATCGAGTCAAGCCACAGCCAAGCCCAATTCAAAGGAAACTTGATTGTGGTCCCTGTCGATCATTAACGCTTTGGGAGGTCAAGCTCTTGTTGTGGTCATGCCAAGCCTCAAATCCGGCACCTCGCATCCGAGAAAGACGGGGATATCATCGATAAGCTTGTTTATTCGGAGCGTGTCTCCAGTAGCCTGTTTGTTGGGCCTGCTTTGAGCTTTGACGAAGCTGAGTCTCTTTGTTGGCCTTTGCAATAGAGGCTGGGCGTTGGTAATAGCTGAGCATTGTTTGTTGTCGAGGAAAAGTAAATGAGTCACGAGAGAACTAGAAACGTCGAGATTCTGTACAAGCGAGCGAGTTCAGGGATCACGGGGCAAACTAATCCATAGTATCTGATAATCTGAGGCTGCACCGCCTCACATTGCCTCTGACAGTGCTACATGCAACCAATCAAGCACAACAGTCGCTGGCTCCCTCACCGATTTTGACGACATCAGATATCCATCAGTGCGCTAGACTCACGGCCTGGACAGTTCCAGCCACATAAAAAGTGGATTGGCATCCACTGACGCCACTGAATAAACAGCGTCATCCTCGATCTAGCTCCCGCCTTAAAGCCAAGGCCTCGGCTCTTGATCCTCCTGCGTCTTTCACTTACACTCTCGACGTTTACCCAACTTATCACGCCCAAGACGACTATCTTTTCTGATAGTTTACGGCTTCGCATCACACTCTCGAGAGTCAAACACCTGTTCGATGAAGGAAGCTTCTTCTGATCCACCCAATATAGATGGCAGTCGCTCTGGTGCACAACCCGCAGCGCCCACTGCTCAGGGCTTGAATGAGCACAGCAACACTCAACACAAAGAGTTTGACGAAAAACAAAATGGCAGCTCTGGTTCTGTCAACGGCGGTGACCGTCAAGGCACCAGTCGAAACAACTCCTCTCTTCTCAAGGCCCTATCTGCTGGCGATGTCCCATCTGCACGGCCGGGGTCTGTCATAGAGACTCCCAACAAGGCCGAGGAGCCGTCACAAGAAAACCCTAATTCAACCAGCAAAATGAACAGATTCTTCGCTGAAGTTAAACGAAGTGTCAAAATTTCCATCTTCCACAGCTGGCTCAACATCCTCCTCATCTTCGTCCCTGTTGGTATTGCAGTATCCCAGGTTGATGGTATCAACGGAGGCATTGTTTTTGGTCTCAATGCAGTTGCCATTATTCCTCTTGCTGGTCTTTTAGCTTATGCTACCGAGTCTGTTGCCCGAAAGATGGGTGATGCTCTCGGCGCGTTGCTGAATGTCACTTTTGGTAAGTCTACCCACAACACAACACAACACCATACAGAGTCTAATCCGCATGTTTATGATAGGTAACGCCGTGGAACTCATCATATTCATACTGGCCTTAACAAAAGACGAAATTCGCATCGTTCAGGCGTCGCTATTAGGTTCAATTTTAGCGAATTTATTGCTCATCTTAGGTACCCTCCCTCCCTTTTGCTGTCAACCGTACCAGAGGTTGTCCAGCCTTTCGACTTTTAGTAATAACAGTTTCATTTTAGGTATGAGCATGCTCCTTGGTGGTTTGCGCTTCAGAGAACAAGTCTATAACAGTACAGTCACTCAGATGAGTGCTTGTTTGCTCAGTTTGAGTGTTATCAGTCTTGTTCTGCCGGTATGTTACAAACAGCTTATAACCATGCACGTACTAACCATTTAAAAGACAGCTTTCCATGCTTCCTTCCGAGATAATGATCTCGCTGACCGGCAATCCCTCAAAATCAGCCGTGGAACTAGCATCGTAAGTCTCAGTTAATACACAATCTTTTCGATATGCTAACTAAACCAATAGGTTCTCCTGCTTGTATACGTCATCTATCTCATGTTCCAGCTGAAATCTCATGCTTATATGTATGAGTCAACTCCTCAGCATATTATTGATGCCGAGTTGGCCCCTGGACCCGCTGCCGGCCTTCTGGATTCCTCCAGCTCTGACGACAGCTCATCCTCGAGCTCAGACTCCTCTGATTCCGATTCGTCTCATGGTACAATGCGAAAGAAGATGAAGAAGGTCCTGCGAAACAGGCGGCATAGAAGGTCTAGCACCGCCTCTGTTGATACCGCTGATACCAAGGGAACCCGGAGTGCCTCGTTCACAACCACAAACACCACCCCGCAGGATGAGGTTTCTGAGGCAACAGCTTCGCGTCACCGTATCCCTCGCTTCCCGTCCTATGAGGGTAGTGAGAGCGCCATTGAAGAAGAGGACGAAGAAGAGACAAAACGTTCACGTAGACGCCGTCGATATCGCCGACACAGGCACCGCAAGAGCAAAAAGCAAGCCCGTGATGCTAAGAAGGCCGCAGACGTTACTGAGGCACAGAACAAGCTGCCTGAAAATGCTCCGCAGAACGACGGTGAAGGCGAACCTCGACGTGTGGATTTCGCCGTTCAGGATGACCTTGAGGCTGGCCCCTCAAACACTGGCAAACGACCATTCCCCCTTCGAGGATTGTCCGTTAAAAACATCGCTCCAGTTTTCACCGAAAAGTCGACGGTGGCAACTACTCCTATTCCTCACGTTCGCTATGGAATCAGACGTACTAATTCTCTCCCGGACCGTCTCCAGTTTCGAGCACCTGGCGCCATGTTGCCCTCTTCTGTTCCGCCCATCTTGACTGCCCCGGGTGCTCAAATGATCGCTAAGGAACAGGAGAATGAAGAAGACCACCTTACCCAAAGTGGTGCTATCATTCTTCTCCTTGTCTCCACAGCCTTGGTTGCAGTCTGCGCTGAATTTCTGGTTGATTCTATTCAAGAGGTTGTTGAGACTTCCGGTGTCAACGAGGTCGGAATCGGTCTCATCATTCTCCCTATCGTTGGTAACGCCGCTGAGCATGTCACCGCCATCAAGGTCGCATACAAAAATCACATGGATCTCGCGATTGGTGTTGCTGTAGGCAGCTCCATTCAGATCGCTCTACTACTCACTCCCGTCATGGTTATTCTCGGATGGATTATGGACAAAGACATGTCTCTTTACTTTACGCTATTTGAGACTGTCTGTCTGTTCGTTTCGGCGTTTATTGTCAACTTCCTGGTCCTGGATGGAAGAAGCAATTACCTTGAAGGTGCTCTGCTCTGCGCAGTGTACATCATCATTGCTGTTGTGGCTTTCTTCTATCCCAATGAACAGCAAGCCAGCGAGTGGGGTGGAGGTAGCTAGTTTGCGTCATAGAAACTCGGTCGGTGAGGGCTGGGGATGGCTTTCTTATATCAAATATCGGAGTAGTAACAACACAGGCTGATTTGCCCAATAGTTAACACAACTTATAAAGGAAAAAGAATAACTCAAATTGACAAGATAACCCAAGCATTTTGTAATGAAGCAACAGCAATGCCTATAGTGATCTAACCAAATATATTTCATTCACTTATCATGCCCTGCGTATTAGCGTATTGTAATTCAGCTCTCTGCCTCGTGATACCAGAAGGGGCTGTGTACGCTCAAAGCGGCGTGGTATTTGTGGAAATTAAACGGCACAGCCACTACTTTAAACCAACGTGATTTCAACAAAGGAGGCCAAAATGCCAAAGGAAACACATATGGATTTCCTTTCTAAACTCTCAATTGTTCACCAATAACCGTTCTTGGGTAATTCTTTGTTATTTAACCGTGAATCCTGCTTGATTTAAGCTTATCAGTGGTTGCAGATGTCCACTTTTGGATCCCTGCTTAGCATCGTCATACGTACCTTAAGCCCCTGCACCTAATTTCAACAACATCATCATCATCATCATCATCGCCATGTGTTTCGGAAGCAAGAAAGAGACAAATGATGACCCTGCGCCTCGACCCGCACAGAGGCCGGCATCTTCTCAGAGTCAAGGAGATGTAAAGAAGAGCAAATACAACCCTCAGAATGACCCGAATCAATATGCTGGAGAGTCTAGCTATTCTGCGCCCCCAGGACCTCCTCCAGACAGAAAACAGGCCTCGGATTTTGCACCACCTCCGGGACCACCACCCGGTCAATCTTCGTCGCAGCAATACTCTGCCCCTCTAGGACCACCGCCCGGCAAGGCCACAGCGCAGTATGATGCACCTCCATACTCTGCTCCTCCGGGGCCTCCACCAGGCCAAGGAGACTACGCGCCACCATCTGGACCTCCACCCAAGCATGATTGGGAAGTGGCAGTACCAGACACTTCGCTATTTCCACCACCACCAGCTATCTTCAGCGGCTACGACAGATCTCCTACGAGCAATGCTACTGAGGAA